AAGTGAGTTTCTAAGTAGAAACGTTTTGGTGATTTATAAGCGTAAAATCGTAAGTTTTTAAGTTTTAAATCAGAGTTTTTAACTATATAAGTTGTAAAAACTAACAATTTGTGTAGAAGCGTTTTAGCGACCTAGAAACGTAAAATCGTAAGTTTTTAAGTTTTGAAGCACGATTTTGCCTACATTAGTTGTGTAGTTTATGACGATAGGTTGATAAATGTATGGTCTTGTGGTGCTTGACTTTCACTTATATTACATGTATATGCAAAAGAGAGCATGCAATAGCTTTGTACATCATAAAAATTATTGTTTATCAAATGGTGATAACTCTGTATTTTTAAATTTTAAGTGTTGGCTTGTGAATGAACCCGCATCATCCGTCCGATCCGACCCGAGACAAAATATAAGTGGGTGATCATAATTGATACATTGTCAATCCGTTGAATAGTGGGTGAATTAATTTCATGGTCAAAATCCACCCGATCCGCCCGTTGCCCAACCCTAGTCCCCCTCCTTTAGCTTCTCAAACCCTTTTCACTCAACTTAATCACTCAACGTACAACATGATATCCATAATAACATGTACAGATTAAAAACCTCCTAGTTTTTGTGAATCATATATATACATACAAAAAAAATCAATTAAATATTGGGAATTCCGGAATGGTGGGTATTGGTTTTACTTAGTTATGATGTAGGGTTTAGAACTTTTGATGTGTTGCAGAGATAAATGGTTGTCGATTACAAGCTGATCCATTCCCTTCTCCTTTTTGGGGATTTTAGCTTAGCTCGATGTGGGCCAGGCCCATAAAATGAACTTTCACTTTGAGCATCCATATAAAGCAAAAGTGGCCCGTTAGTAGTCGCGGCCTTTGTTTTCCATCAGCATGGCCCTAAAAATTTGTACTGAGCAGACTAATGAAGCTAGCCATTTACCAACCTGGGCTCAGTCCAAACAACCATATTCCAATCCTGATCCATGCATGTAAAATCAGGGAAAAAAGTTTTTTTGGTAGGAAACAGAGCGCAAAGGGGCGCTCTAACCCTTAATTATTAAAGGATTGCGGGATTTGGACCCCAATAGCATCAAAATACAACCAATATATCAAGCCAACGCTTGGATTTTCAACATAATGCACACCAACAGACAAGGAGTGCCCCAACGAAGATAGTAGTAGCTGACTATATGAGCGATAAGGCTGTTGAAGAGTCAGTCTGCAGAACTACCTTCTGATGTCCCCGATCCCATGCAATTTGCAGTCCATGCCCGATCCATGCCAGTTCTGCATTAGTAATGGATCCACCACCTGAATTTATCGAGTAGGCCGCCACGAAACGCCCATCGTTGTCTCTTAGAACCCCTCCTGCCGTCGAGCTTCCTTGCGCCAAGACAATTGTTCCATCGGAATTCACACATATCCAGCCCGGAGGAGGGCGCTTCCAACTAATAAGACTCGTAACATGACTTCCACCCTCCACCAGCAACCCCCTCCTCACAAATGCTCCCTGCTTTGCTCCCCAAGTTGCCCGCCATATGATGAAGTTGATCCGCCTGCGCTAATGTTTTTTCGAACACCCACAAGTTACGATTCTTCCACAATTACCAACATAAGACTACAAACACCAAAGGATCAATAACTTTGCCTTTACTCGATAAGTAATGTAGCACCCATTTCGTTAAGTCATCCTGGAAAAAATACTCGGTCTGGTTTGCCCTCCAACAGTTTCGACCACACTTCACGAGAGTTAGGACAGTCACGTCCGAGCCCCCTTGAGGGTGAGAATGCGCCGGTGAGGCCACCATTCCGTTGGATCTGAATCTTGACGAACGAGATGCATCTCATAATCAGTTCGATGAAGCTCGTCGGGGCACCCACAGCTTCTAAAGTCTCACGAACAAAGCTCCATTTGATCCTATCATAAGCTTTTTCCAAATCAATTTTGAGAACCATCCAGCCCACCTTGCCTTGCTTAACCTGCATTGAATGAATAACCTCCTGCAAAATACATATATTGTCAGTAATATGCCTACCAGGTACAAAACTTGTCTGTGTAGCATGTACCAATCGCGGCATCAAGGGATTGATCTGCTTTGCCAAGCACTTCATTATCATCTTATAAGCCACATTGGAGAGGCTGATCGGTCTAAATTGTTCGATCAAAGAAGGCCTCTGGACCTTTGAAATTAATACGATGACGGTATCATTCACTTCCTGGACCCCCATTGGCGTATGCCAGCCGGATTTTACAAACTCTACCACTTCAGGGCCAACAAAGTCCCAACACCGCTAGTAAAAAAGGGGATTCAGGCCATCCTTCCCTGGTGCCTCCAAAGCACCCATTGCTTTAATGGACTGGTGAATTTCTTATGGTGTAAACTCCTTCTCCATCGAAGCCCAAAGGTGGGTGGAACCTCTTGAAAAGCACGCATCAGAGTACGGATAAGGGCTCCATCGTTTGTGTACAAGCCCGAGAAACAAGATCAAGAAGAAGTTCATGTTCCTCAAGGTGGGTGGAACCTCTTGAAAAGCAAGATCAAGAAGAAGTTCATGTTCCTCAATCCACTCGCCCGCTTCGTTCTTCAGTGTTGTTACACAATTTCTCCTCCTTCGATTTATAGTTCGCAAATGGAAATACTTAGTATTCCTATCACCGAAGGCCGCCCACTCCAACCTAGACTTCTGACACCACAGTAGCTCCTCTTGTAAGAGGACCTCCTCCAACTCCTGCCGTGCTGACCTCACCGAGTCAGTCTATGCATCACCACCATATTGAGCTTCCAGTCGCTCAATTCTGGCAAGGAGCGCGTTCTTTCTTCTAATAATATTACCAAAGGTCTCCGCGTTCCACTTTTTGGCTTCCCTAATGAACTATGTAATAGACGATAAGAAGTCCACCCCTCCCGCCCATGCCTGACTAGCCATTTCGTTGAAGCCCTCATGAGTTAACCATGCCGCCCGAAATTTAAATGGCTTCAGGCCAGACGGTAGGAAAGTCGGGTTCACAGCCATCAAAAGCGACGGGTGATCACTCTTGACCCTTGGTAGATGTCGCACTGTTGCCTCTGGGAACCTGTCACTCAAAGCTGCATTAACCAAAACTCTATCCAGCCTTACCTTCACACGCTTAAACCACGTGAAAGGTAGTCCAGCAAAGCAAAGATCCACAAGCCCAACATCTAAAACGGAATTTTGGAACTCCTTCGCGCGACTAGCGTCAAACGGTGCCCCACCGGACTTATCCGATAGTTGCATGATAGAGTTAACATCCCCTACAAGAATCCAAGAATTCTCTACAGTCTCAGCAAACGCCCTAATCGAATGCCATAACTCCCGCCTCTGAACTAAAGTTGGGTTCGCATACACAGCCGAAAGATACCAGCTACCATCACTCTTTGTAACCTGAGCCAGAAGCATTTGAGACGACCTGTCCACTTCCGTAATAGTGGCAAGGGTTAAGTCCCAGATCAACCATATACCTCCCGAGAAACCCACAACATCAAAAATCATATATTTTTCAAAACCAAGTTTCTTGACCACTTGTATCGCCTTATCCCCACTTATTCTCGGCTCTACAATGATCACAATAATTGGATTATATTTTCTCTGATACTCCTTAAGCACTCTTAGGAATCGCTTGCTCCCTACACCCCTACAGTTCCACGTAAATATGTTCATCATTAATAACGTATGGAAAGTAGGCTCTGGCTTGCACCCAGGAAAAACTCAGCTCGGAGGAGCCTCATTGACGAGGCTCTCCGTATCATTCTCCTTGTCCATCACTGTGGAAAACTCCCCTGGAAAATCCTTTTGTTGACTTGCGGTGTCCGGAGGTCTTATAAAATGCCCATCCAAGGTTATTGTGTCGCGAGTAGGGCCCCCACTTGTTTGATAACCCTCCTGCTATGTCGGTCGGGGCATACCTACTTGCTTGTTGACGTTCATTGGGCTAGTAGAGCAGGCCGACGCCGTTGGCCGAGGATAGGAAGTTTTAGGAGGCTCGTTGAACATCTACTTTTTCTTACTACGCTCCGGCCTCTCATTCTGTTTCTCAGCCTTATGACCTATCAATCCCGATGGCATTCCTACTTCGTTAGTGCTTCCGCTCGTCTTTTTCCGAGCTTTTTCCGACTTTTGGTTTACTACTCCAATGGTCTTGACCTTCTCCTGGATGTTATTGGCCATAGTTGATTTATCCATGGTATTCACTTCTACATCCTCATCGCCCAGGGCTTTGAACCTGGAACCACCTAGCCCTTCGCGTGTTTTAGTCCCGCTACTCGCCTTGCCCTTACCAACTTCAGCAGCTCGGCCCGCCTGATCCTTGGTTCGACATTTGGCACGGTAGATTTGGTCTCCATTTCCATTGGCGGTATCGTGCAAGAGCACCGACCCCTCGCAAGGTATGTCCCACACTTCAAACAGATATTTTATAATCCTTCATACTGAATAAAATACTTCTTCCTATGCAAAGAAAATTTTGAGAGTAGCGGCTGGGTGAGGTCGACCTTGATGCACACTCATGCATCTTTGTCGGATTGGGTGAGGATGAATCCGTCGGCGGGCTTCATTGGTCTGTCATCATCTTTGTCACCACGGGGCTATCCGCTGCCCCTCCCTCGGCCAGCAGCGCAGTCACCGGCAGCATGGATGGTAAACCCTAGATCGCTCGCCTCTAACTTTTTTTGTCGCTCTCCTATTTTTGCGGAGCACTTAAAAAAAACTTCAGAATGATAAATTCAATTGTGAGAGTTGAACCAAAAACATATCAGCTCTGATACCGCAACTTAATTCTGAAATTGGATTATCACTCATGAATACATGTACATGGCAAATAGGGGGAACGAATGCCTAATTAGGCTGTGCAATTAGCAGAGACAAGGATATGATAAGAGGTTAATAGCCAATCAATGCCAACTTGATGGTTAATTAGGGTAAAATTAGCTGACCGTTGGCATGTATCTATAAAATCCCCTCATGGTTTCTGCAACCAAGGAAGAAAAACAAAGGAAAAGGAAAGGAACGAACGAAAAGAAGAAAGAGAGAGAGCGAGAGATCAAAGGGAAAGTAGTCTCGAGGAAAAAGAAAGAGAAGAAGAAGGAATCCCCTCCCCGCCTCCCCTCCCTCCCTCTTTCCAATCCTCCCGAAGGCTCATCCCCATATCCCTCCTCCTTCCTTCCCCGCCAACTGTATCTCTCTCCATTTTTTAACTTATATCTTTCTCCTTTTCGACGAAGATCTGATCGGAAAAATTTAATATATTATATATTTTCTCTCACCCTTTTACGGAATGGGTTTTCTTCATAAGTTGTGGGACGAGACGTTGGCCGGCCCGACTCCCGAGGCCGGCTTGGGAAAGCTCCGGAAGTACAACTCCTTCTCCTCCTCTTCTTCTTCTCACATTGCTCCGCCGCTTCCGGGTATTCGTATCGGCCGTGCGCCTCCATTGGTGGTTACACGAAGCATTACCATGGCCAGGAGCAACCGGTTTGCTTACAATAATAGTTCAGGTGTTGAAGATTCTCCTCTTGCTTCTCCAAATACCAATGAATCCCCTTTGTCGTCATCCACCCCTGGCTCGCCTTCCACTCGTACGTATAGTTCTCTCTCCCTTCCGTAATCTAGCTATGTTTTTTATAGGTCCATCACACTTTTTCTCATGGACAATCAATAATATAAAACAACACATAATCTTAAGGAACAATATACCCTGAATAATTACCATAGATATAAACCGCGATGATAATTATTCACGTTATATTGGTGGTTGTTCATGTAAGGTACCGGTGGTTATTCCTGAACAATAATGATTGTAATATTTATTCACTCATGAGATTTCATTTGTTTAAATAATCATAACTCTTAAGTGAATAAACATCGAATTACGTATAATCACCAAATGACGTGAATGAACGCAGACATGTGTGAATTAGGTGTTGTGACTCTTTATGTACCACCAAAAATCTTTTCATAATCTTAATACATGCATTTATAAATACACCATTTCTAGAATCCAACATTTCAAACCAACCTTAGTTGTTCATCACCCTTCCGTAACAATGCATACAATCTTCCAATACTAGATCATTGTAATCTCCCAAATAAATATTCATCCAATATTTGAGATAATTGTTTTCCCAATGAATAGTTTTGAATTATGAAGTATAATTAATCCATTAACAAAAATTTCTTTCTTAATTATGATTATTTCTTCAGAATTTTTTTAAATCACTAAATAACCATAAGTTCCATATGTGCAGCTGAATCACCAGGAGGTGGTGGAGGAGGAAGGTACAATCATCATTTCCATTCCAAGCGAATGGCAAGGCGAAAACCCTCTTCACCTTCATCTTTCTTCGGAGAGCCTCGTTGATTCTTCACGTATGTATATATATACATAAAGCCACCACCTCTCTGAAAATATTATTTTTGTTATATTTTTTATTCTTAATTGACTTTGTGGCTTTGGTGCTGCTGGGGTATATTGTGTAGGGCTCTAAATATGTATGAACAAAGTGCATTTGGATCGTAGAGAAAGATCAAAATCCAAAATATATAGTAAAGGCTCTTCTTCACTGCACCATCGATCTCCATGTGAGATCACAGAACTAAGGTTATGTATATACTTCAGATGACAAATTTGTGTATATATAGTGTATATATACCTTCTACTGTAAAAATGTGCAAATTCAAGCAACTCTCCCATTCTATAGATGCGCATGTACTTTGTTATAAACACAGAAGGGTGTACGTACGTATACTTTTTTATTATAAACCCAGGGACATGTATACATGATTGTATTATATATAGTCATGCATGTAATGAATATCTTGTTATCATCATATGCTCAAAAACAAGTATATGTTTATGCCTATGTTTCTACCTTCTCACATTAACCAGTATTATACTAACAAATTAAGTCGACCTGGTGGATTTGAACCTCTAGAGGATCTAAATGATGATATGGAATGCACTGGGATACCCGAATATACGTGCAATATCTGATCTTTCTTTTTTTAATGTTGGTTGGTCATTTCATTAATCGAAACACTGTGCAAGGAGTTACAAATAACATTGGAAGAAAGGAAAAGAGCTAAATGAACAAGAGTAAACCAAAAAGTGGACAACCACAGGCCCAAAACCTGAAATCCCAAACCCAGTCCAAACACACAGACAACCCACCCTTGGAACATCCATCGGCCCAATTGCTAAGGAGATGGCTGCCAAAAGCATCCTCCACCACCAGACAGCGCCGCCTCCAACTAACTTGACTGCACTAGGTCTTACGTCGGGAAAGATGGAGGATGTAGAGAAACATCTACCAACACCGGCGGCACAACCTAAAGTCCGACGCACCAGCAAGCATCAGAAGGCAACAAACTCGATGGGGAGAACCGAACCCAGGAGGGGCTCCAAAATCCACCTGCACAAAAACAAGGAAACATGGGAGCAACCCGAGTGACGCACAGAAGAATGTTGATCGATCCATCACCGATCTGAGCAAAGCGGCTGAAATCTAGTTTCGAAGATGACATCCCTGCTCACAAGCTCCCTCAAATCTCAATCGAGACAACAAAGGTCCATGCATCTCCTAATCATCCCAATTTATGGATGAAGCATGTGGAGGTAGATGTCGGACCAAAGAGGAGCAAGCGAATCGAACTCAAGATTGACCCACCACCTCAAACACCTACCAGGGTCATTCACATAGATCTGATAAAACTAGCTTGGTGGGAGAAAAAACATCTCCGACGGGAGACAAGAAAAACATCACCGCAAAGGTGGAAGAGGAACCACAAGGAAGAAAAGAAATAACATGAAAAGCCAAACGAGATGAAAGAAAAGAGCAGAAAAATAGAAACAGAGGAACCACAGAGGAAAGGGAAAACAAGATTGAACGCATATGTATATCACACATCAGGTGTATCCTAGCCTTTGAGTTTTGGCTAGAAGCAAATAAAGTTATCACTATTGTGTGTAAATTTGGGTGGATTCGTAGGTTTAACCACATCTGCGTTCTCCACTAGGAGTGAGCACGTGTAATACCAACAACATAATGGGTGACTCAATTACGGGTAAATTTGATCGTAAGTTTAACTACCAAGTGCTCACTCCTAGTCCTAGAGGAGACCATCACCATAAATTTGGATGGTTTACATGTCTTATCAACTAGGCAGGTAGCAGCAAGATCGTGCTTCATGAATTGCAAACCATTGACAATAATAAACTCTCAAATCCTACTAAATAAGGGGTGCTACATAACGATCCTAGACTCTAATATGCAACTCAATGATCTAGCTAGCCTACTTTTAATACAAAAATGAGTACATCTATCACGCATTCTAAAAACATGTTCACTTTCTATTTCGTTTTTTTTTTCTAGTTTCCATATGGAAAACCAAACAACAAATGATGAGCCAGCTTCACAGAAACAAAAAATTAATGTTTTCTGTAAATTGGGTACATGGATTTTCCCTCATTTATCGTGAGGATGTTTAATGAGGATGGGGACGAATCCCTCAACCAACAATATTTATTGTGATTAATTTGTAAAGCCCAAAATCTTTTGACAAGTTCCAGACTCGGACTCACCACTCCTCGTCTTCACCGCCAAACTCTTTTCCTTCCCTCTCAATCCCACACGGGCAATCCTCCTCCTCCTCGTTGTCTCCTCCAGATATGTCTCCGTTTACCTCCACAGCTCCCCGCTTGGCCCAGTCATGGGAGTGTGCTGGCAGGCCCGCCAGCACAGGGCCTCACAATTTAAGGGGTCTTCACTAAATACAACAAGCTAAGTATTAGTTATAACTTAGGGTTAATAACTTATTTTGCATTGAATTGTACTTAAATAATCAACTTTGACCCATGTTTTCAGAAATTAGTATCATGGTCTCAACTATACACCATATATACTCAATTGGTCGGACGTGTATTTTGACCGTCAATTTGGACAGTCAACACTGTTGACTAACGGCAGTGGCGGAGCCAGAAAATTGGGCAAGGGGGTGTTTATTCATATCAGAAAAAAATCAACTATATATAATAGAAAATTCAACATTAAACAAAATAAAAAATCGACAGCAGAGTACTCAATATTTTTACAATTACATAATAATAGTTCGACTCATACCACTTATAACGAACAACGAAGAGATTTCATATTCTGAAAACATTGTAGAACACATTCCTTGTGCAAACTAGCGCACAACTCTTGTTCAATATATGTTACCAACTCATCGTTTATCCGATTTTGAATATATATTTTTTGTATATTCATGGGTGAAAATTATCTTCCCACACTTATAGTTGCAACGTAACATACAGATAATTGTCAATTTGAGAACTAGATAAATAGATAGATACAGTTTTTCTTAAGTTTTTAAACATGCCATCGAATGGTAGATAAAATAATACATGAATTCAACTTATGACCCAAAAATATCATAAGAATTGGGGTAGTTAGTATGAATCGTACTAATATCGACAAGGGAAAAAACAACCGTTGGGAACTTCTTATGGGAACAATAATAGTTGTAGCCGTAGGTTTAATTTTAGAACTAACTTGTTATTTTATATAAAGAATCGTAAGATTTATTAGAAACTCATCAAGTGAAGATTGTAAGGAAGATTGTTTAGTATTATTCGGTCAAGGGTAATTCCCCAAACTTACTTTTCCCTTCGTAAATTTTTGCTGCTCCTCCAAGCCAAGGGAGGTGAACCTAATGAGTGGCTCCGCCACTGACTAACAGTCAATGTGCCATGTCATCATACAAAATATTAAAAAATTCAAAATTAAATATTTTAACCTAATATATATAATTGATATTTAAAATAACACAAAAAAGTAATTGAAAGAGACCCGACATGATAACAATACTATCATCGACAACAACAAAGGAGGATTCGACAATTTGTTTTCTTCTTTTATAAATATGGATTCGGAGGATTGTCGGGGGAGAAGGAAACCGAAGATGCCTCCATCTCCATATATAGCCCGCCCGTCCAATTGTTCCTAGAGATCTGTCAGCCTCCTCCTCATCTTGACAAGTGATAACACCGCATTTGCACATGTTTTCCCTTTATTTCTTGATCTTTTAGCTTAGTGATTGATCGTTCATTGGCCTATTTTACGTTAGGTTGTGTTCTTTTGTCATATTTCAAGTCCTAATGTGTGAATGAAGGCTTGGGCATGAGTTCGGGGTCGATTGGACGAAGTTTGGACAATTGATGGGAAGAAGAGTTAGCCACACGGCCTGACCATATTTTCACACGGCCGTGCAACTTGTCCGTGCAGCACTCTTTTGCACGGTCAAGGCGGTACGGGCCGACTAAGTGCCCCTTTTGGTCGTGTGGGATTTGCCGAGACTCCATACGAGCTGGCTGGATTTTCACACGACCGTGCAACGTAATACAAGCCACTAATTCAAACGATGCATTTTGGAGAGTTGCACGGCGGGCACATGAGGATTCCACACGGCTATGTGGCCTGACTTAGGTAACCTAAATCGTGGGCCTAGGCCCAACGCTCGCGCTTTAGATCGCTAAATCGCAAATCCGGGACAGAGCGTCTATAACTCGCAATTTTCTTTTTCCGGGAGCGCAACTTTACTGTAAAAGAACGCGACTCCGATTCAAATGGACGCGTCGCGAAATTTTGAACTTGTACCATGAGAGATATTAATTTGGAGGGCATGGGATGTGAGAACAGACTCGACGAGAACATTGCGAGTTTGTGACCGTCAGTGTTGATTGGTTGAGGGAGAGCACCGACTGATTCGGGCGGACTGAAAAAGGAAGAGACTATCAGGAAATGGAGAGATCAGAAAATAACAAGGTGCTTCACGGTCATTCTCGAAGAAAGAAGGATTTGCTGGCGTTGGAAGAGGCTTGGTGACCAGCTGTTGACGGAGACCTGGAAGAACCGGCGTTGAAATAGCTTCGGGATCCACCGCCACGGCGCCACCGCCAGAACCCTTGTGGTTGTTGATGAAAATTTACGTATTATCCTATTATGTTCCTTAATAAGCGGAAGAATGGGCCTTTGGAGCAAAACTGAAGATTAGAAGCCCAAAGCCCGCTAACTATTAAGCTTTGAGTTTGATTAGTTTCTATTTTTTTTACTAGAAAGAAATACATATGGACTTAGGCAAATACTAGAAAGATTAAAGAACTAATAATAAAAATCAAAGTGATTTATGAGAGAAAGGGTTGAGATAATCTGAACAATAATGCAAAAAATATCAATACATTTCCATATCACTAAACATTTATCTATTATCAATAATTAAATATATATTTTTTTTATAATTTTGTTGTTTACTATTTTGTTATTTTATTAAAATAAAAATAGATTATAAATAATATTATAATAACGCTCTCCCCACGCTCCCAATATCAAATTCTTTTAAAATCGTCGCTCTTACTCCACGAACTGGTTACCTAAGGTTTGGCCATGTGGTCATGATTTTCTGGGTTTTAACCCAATTTTAGGTCTTTGAGAGAGGATACGACTTTTTGGAGCAAAAACAGAGTTATAGAGAGAGAAAGTGCGAAGAACAAATCTTATGAGCTATTTGTAGTGGATTTCTCACCATTGAAGCCCAGATTGCATCCACAGGAGTTAAGATTGACATCCCAGAGCAGATTATTTCCATCTTTATGAGTATAACTGCTTTGATTTCTGTTTTCCTCTCTCTCGCTCTATGGAGTAGACCTTTCTCTCACTTGAGTATGAAGAACCCTAGTTCCATGTG